AATCAGACCTAAGTGATATTGAAGGGGCAATGGACCAATCAACATACTTTTTCAAAAATGTTGACCTAATTTTCACCAAAAATGCAAACTTTTATTATATTGTTCAATGCATAATGTGCTTTGAGACATGTTCGATTTCCTAAAAGGAAACGTTGGTTGCTCCAGGGACTTTAAAGATACTGCATTTGGATGACCAAAATGAATTGAAACTAATGGATAGCATGGGACTTTTCAATGCAGAAATAACATGGGGAACACTTATCTTAAAGCAATTAAGTTTTTCTTTCAAGAACTATTTGAAACATCAAAATAAAGAATAGTAATGCATTAAACATTGTAAAAATGATTGTATTTTTGGTGAAAATGAGGTCAACATCTTTGAAAAAGTGTGTTGATGGGTTGATTGCTAGATAAATATCTCCGAGTTGCATAATTTTCTTTGAAATAATGAATTGATCTGAAAGAGAAACTCGTCTTCATTGTCAGAAAATAGTCATAATCCAAGATATAACCTTCTGAAATTGTTTTCGATAAACCACGTGCATGGCAAAATATGTTAGGTCATCTAGTATTTTTTTGGAACTGGTACTCTTATAAGATATGAGATCTATTAAAAAAGACGCATCATCACCAACGTGCAAAAGTCAATGTTTTTGCTATTAATCGGGCAACAATGGTCTACACGACCTGTAATAACAATAGGTATAGGGGACGTTATTATCAAAATACTAATGACATTGCTCACTTTTTAAAGTTAGTTTCCATGCGTTATACAAAAAAATAATCGAAATAAATTAATTTGGGATGGAGGGGGATCGGATGGAGGGGGGGGGGATCACGTGTATATAAGACATGATAAGACATGCTACTTGAATTTATTCTCATTACTCCAAATTTCCCCATTTTTCTTTCTCCAGAGATATAATATCCAGTTTCTTACTGGGGTACTGAGTTTATTTTTTTTCAAATACACGAGTTCTTGTGAATTTGTTCCATCGTAAAGATATATAAATCCATCATTTTTGTACGATCACCGGGCGTGAGAGTAGAGGATGTGAGTCCCACAAAATGGTCAATAGAGCGCTTATTTGGACAATAACCTATTTATGCTGTGACATCATAGTGACGTATCTCTTGAACATAAAAATGGTGAAAATCTGATCAGCTATAGAAAGCATTGAATTTCGATAAGATTATAAGAGGAAAGTGACATTCGAACGAGTAGTTGCTATCAGCCCTATGCATACAGTATATTTACCCGAACTAATAACGCGAATTGACCGGTCAATCCGTTCTTGATTTGACGTTTTCTGTACTGGGTTGCGTCGGTAACTCTTTCTTGCGTTTCTATACCTTTTTCTCTGTCTTTTACTTTTCACTTTATTTCCCACTTTAGGAGAAATGACAGACATGCGCACTAATATCCTTTTTGGTCATAATGGGGAATTGGAGACCATGGGCGGTTGATTGGGGGTAATCATACTAGGGACATTATGGGGATTTTTACTTGCAAGTTTTAAAGAACTTGAAGCGTGGCTTTCATGAAACTGGTTGCTGTACTGTTTTTTTTCATTTTTTAAGGTACAGAGGAAGTAATGTTGATAAAAAGTGATCAAAATGTGGATAAACGACCTTTTAAAAAACAACAACAACTATGATTTACATTTACAAATCATTTTAGCCGTGCCTTATAAATTTCAGAAAATGAGTCTACACACAGAAAAATTGTCTACTTAATACTATGTGAAACATAGCGGATTTTCAAAAGCCTCAAAGAAAAATATTTGGCACCTACTCTTATTAAGCCAGATCTAATCAATTTAGCAGAAGATGCAAAGTGTCACTGGCTTCAGAATATACAGTCATTCCAATCAGTCATTGGCTAAGGAAACAGAATCGTAATACTAACAAATGGTATGATTAGCCCTGCCGCAAGCGTTCCTGCTAGCAAGTCGTGCCTTGAAATTCTCTCCGGTCGTTATTGTTCATAATTTTTTTATTAGAAATACAGTGTTTGATTTCAATATCGACAATATCTCGAAATTATACTCTCAAATCGTCAACCATTTTTATAATATAAATGCATTTCAGACAATTATTAGACATCGTTCTATTTCGTTTTTTCGTAAGTTATTTTTGTCGTTTGAGTTTTGTAGACGTGCACATCATTACAGTTAAATCTGCATGTCTATTGTGTAGTTTCTCCGTAAAACACCATAGACACGAATTGGGAACGTCTAATTCTGTTAAAGCGCAGGATCGAGAGATTTTACTGAGAAATAGTAAGAATATCGCTCAATTGATTTTTTGACTAAAAGTTGCTGTATCTCGGACAGAATAAACTCCTTGCGCTCAAGACAATTTCCTTCCTCGTTATTAAAATGGTGTGTCCAAATTTACAAATATATTCCTAATTTGAACTTTGATTTTGTTGCTTGCATTTTTATTAGTAAATTGACTGGGGAGTAGATCTATTGCGTGTGCATATCAACTGCCCACGCCCTTTCCCCAGAAACCACTTGTCGGATTTTTTTCAAATTCGTACAGATGTTCGAGGGTACTTATAAGATAAGATATTGAGCTGATTATGGCCATCTTGTTTTCTGGCATAAATTTTTGAGGTTTTTCGCTTTTTGTCATCGAGCTTTGCTCATCAGATTTTTTTGCATTCGTACACATGTTTTACTAAATTATAGAAATGATTAAGGGTAGATGTTCACGATGCACGACGGCTACGGTGAAATGCTAATTGGCTCTATCAGTAATATTCAAGAACTTGCATTTTGACACTTTGTGTGTCATATACACACCCGCAATTATTGAGATTGTCCCTCAGGGATTGTCCACAGTATCAATTTCATGATTCAGTATTTAAACTACAGTTTGCAAAATGCACAGCAACTAGCCTGCGTTTTCATTTGTGGTAGTTCTATGGATGTAACTGAGGTACGTCTGCAACAATGGTGTTCATAGAACAACCAACAGCATTCATCAACCTTGGGGAAGATGTAATGTTACGGGTGTTCCACTTTTGATAATATTGTGGATGGGATGTATACTGCAAAAGGTGCTAACTCGACCGAGACCAACCTTGCACCCGGCAGACATATCAGTTATTTAGGGGAAGTGCATCAAAACTTTAGAAAGTTTCTCCATCAAGTAATTGGAGCAATTTTAGCGTCTCAAACATTTAAAAAAATATTATCACGATTTAAAAAGATGCTCGTAAGATTTTTCTTAGAATTCGTACATATGGTAGAGAGAGTACCTAATTTTACAGGTGATTTCGTTTTGGGTAGCCAACTCAGCTTGTTTTCTGGAAACCAGTAGAGAAGATATTTTGTGATCAATCTATTATCGTCATTTCATAAAACCGCTCGTCAGACTTTTCAAATTCCTACAAATGTTAGTGTGTACAAACCGCACTTGTTCTCAACGTAATTCTCGTATTTCAGAACCACCGTGTCTCTGCAACGGGATGTCCAGCTTTCGGGTTGCTTGTTGCAGAGACACGATGGCTCGATAATACTTTGAGACCTGGTGAAGTTTTACAGTCCATTCACTACCGTGATGGCTTCTTGGTGATGTGATTTCTTTCCGTATGACTCAATTTCTGAATATTTTATGCGAACCAATTTACTTGAAATATTAGATTCCGATCTTTGGGGAGGGGGGGGGGGGGGGTTGTTAGACATAAGACATTACTTCTTTGCTTGTTAGATCACAACTTGGAACTTGGCTCCTCCTTGTGCCCCCTGTGCAATTACACGTTTGCCAACATCGAGTATCTGAGAGTAAATAGAAGGTACACGGTCAATATTTGGTTGATCTTAGTCTGCAAATATGCGATTCAAGAACTAAACATACTGGGAGTAACGTCCTTGTGTGATTGTTACTTTAAGACAAACACCAAAAGTTGTTTTAACCCACGCTCCGAAGGTCTTTGCAATGCCCTTTGTGAGAAATTTCAATGATTTTGGTGAGAAATTTCAATGATTTTTGTGGGAAATTACAATGATTTTTTCTGTTCATGCCCTTCGTGATGTTCATCGCATATTATTTTTGTAACGATGAACTCTACCTGACAGACAAGGAAGATTGCATGGTATGACATGATGATACTATCTCATTGCCAGTTTCATTTTCCTTGACCCGGCAATGCAAGTGCCACATTCAACTGATTAAAGTAGAAGTATATTGAACACCGACTTTTTTTCTACAAATTTCCGATTTTCTTGAAAAAATCTAGATGAAAGATATTACGCCTAATAACGTGCAGTGACAAAATATACCGTCGTACACTTTTGGTGTCACTATTAACCTATTTGAAGCAAAGACAATGATGTAGGTTTGATGAGGTTTTAAAAATTATCTGAGGAATACATTAAGGATTTCGTGTTTGAAATAATCAAAGGAAATGTGTAAAAAACAACATTTTCCAACCGACCAAATATATGGGTAGATTAACCACGAATAAATCGAGCACTGTTCGAAAATCTTCTAAGTTACTAGAAAGTTAAATGTCTTCCCAAACGAATACACACGAAATCAAACATGAGATCCTTATGGTATTGCTCAGGTAATTTTTTAAAACCTACATCAAATCTACATCATTGTCTTTGCTTCAAATCGATTAATAGTACATCGTTAATAGTACATCGCCGTCGTACATCTAAAGTGTACGACGGCGTTTTTTGTCACTGTACGTTGTCGATGGTTAGGCGTGGATATACCGATGTGTTAGATTCAACGGTGTTTCGAACCAATTCTTGATCTCTTTTTATATGACTCATCAACACTTTTTTCGCAATAATAAGAAAATCTGAATTGTGCATATTTGATTAAAAAATAATTTTCCCATTGAAAGCAATGTTAAATTAAAACATTTTTAGAATAATCAAACGGTTAATCTTTCTAGTCTTGACAAGTTTTGTATTGAATAAAAATTGAATAAAATTGAATGATTGAATAAAATTGAGCGTACTTCTTATCTTTTCCAGGAAAGGAAATGGTTGATTACATCGCAGATTATCTTGAGAACATTCGATCAAGACGTGTTTTTCCAAATGTTTCTCCGGGGTACATGAACGACTTGGTCCCAGAATCAGCTCCCTTAGACGGAGAAAAATATGAAGATATATTCAAAGATGTTGAACGCGTCATCATGCCAGGGGTAAGAGGACACTCACCACTATCCGTAAATGATGTCGTTATGATAGTGCCTTTGTAAAAAAGTATATGATCAAGATTAAATAAAAGAATGTTGATTTATTTTCTACTTTTTGTAACGACTTACTTTTTCAATGCCATGTTTACAGTTCAAGGCTTTGTTTAATGTAGGCCTACTGTTCGAAGCGACATTTCGCCATGAATTGAAGAGACTTTGCTTATTTAGTATTGCATATCATCTGATCCTTAGCTTACACCGTTGTTCTACCATATCAAAATTCAATTTTATTTTACTCTTGGTATACAGTAAAGTCGATGACCTATGGATTGTATTGTAATTCTCATTCTAAATGGCTTTTAAATATATAAATGATACGTAATATCCCAGGCACTTTTCCTACGGTGACCGTACGGTCTATCATTTCTGCGGTCAGTAACATTTCAACGCTCGCCGTAGCGACATTGACCATTAATATTTCGTAATATAGGTAGCTGTGGTATCAGTGATATTACAAACAGTATACCTATTGCGTTGTGTTCGCAGTAAAGACAGCAAACCTTGCCTGAAAAACAGTTTCCAAAGGTACATTTACAAACCAATCAAAACACTACGAAAGACGCAAGTCAACGTGCCGCCCGACGTGCGGCCACCATGGGCCGTTCTGCGGTCTATCAACGACCTGTTGATTTCTATGGATACTGCATAAAATGAACAAATACTATAACTCCAAGTTATAGGTTCTACGGCTTCTCTGCGGGCAGTAAAAACTCGATACGCCTTACGGAGACCGCAGAGTGACCGTAGTTTTCCTACGCTAGCCGCAGAAATTCCCTGATTTAATTGATCTGCGGTCGACGTATACACGTATACGGTCACCGTTCGACACATGTGACTGGGGTGTAACTTACAAAATGAAGACTTAAACATAAACCATACAACAATAAATAGGTTGATTTCAATGGTTTGTATCCAAATATTTTACCCGTATGTTAATAGTAACAGTACCCGGTAGGCGGAAAGCAAGTCAGTTACGAGCAAATATCAATGGACGTTATCTGGTGAATTTAATAACGTCTTGGTTACGGTTGTGTTAACGTCCTGGTTGTTGCTATGGGGTTTCTCACTCGTTTATGTTTACATACTCGTGAGTGATTCACTTTTCAGTAAGCGGATGTTACTATTAACTTACAGGTAAAATATTTGGACACAAATCGACCTCATTCTTGGTCACAGTAAATGCTGAAAGTAGCGTGAAAATTATGATATTTATATGTGTTAATAAGGTAGGCTAAAATCCAAAAAGTCTCTGGTATTGATAGCATTGAATCCAGAAGGAGAACCTCCATAGACCATAAGAATCACGTTATGGAATGGATTCTTGCATTATGTGCAATTGCAGCTTTCTGTACTGCAACAGCCATCAAATCCGATGCTAAGCAATGTAAATGAATCTCTGATATCAAATAAAGAATCAAATATTTCGTAAAATAAGTAACATTGGGAAGAACTAGCAGCATATCTTCATTTCTTGTCACTCTTCTCTTAATTAGTACTTGAAAATTGGGTTGTGATCAAATATCCGTTGATTAGACAAAATCAAGCTTAACACTGTAAAAATCAAATTAGAGCCACGGAATAACTGATTGCACCGATTTCTCGCTACCCACGCTTACTTATTAATAAGTTCGATCGTATCTAAAACATTATTTTCTATAAGTTAATCTCGATTAAACAATTGCCAGTCGACCGAACTTCCCCCTGAAACCAACGTCCTAGGGCATTGCATGATGTAATTCTGAGCGTTTCGTCCAGCGCTTTAGTCAGAACGGGTTAAAAGAAGATGAGACATTTTAATAATATTGTTCAAAATCTTTTGCATGTGTCAAAGGAATTTAAGTACACGACTCAACGACTGTTTTTTGTATGCTAGCCTTTTTACTCCGGCTTCCACACTCGAATAAATTGTAATACAGGAGCCTTTGTACTTGGATCGTTCACAATATATATAAACCTAGCTAGGTTTCAATCATTTAATACGTTTCTTTTAGATAACACATTGGCAGAGCCCATATATGCACGCTTACTTCCCGGCCTTGAACTCGTTCCCGAGTCTGTTAGGAGACATGCTTGCGGACGCCATAGGCTGCCTCGGTTTCACATGGGTGAGTTATACGTCATTGCAGCAGTGACCAATCATAAACATCCCATCAATAAGTTTGGCAACAGGAAAAACTCACTAGACCGCAATAAAACACATGCAAACAAACTTTGAGGGACAATGTTTTATTCCTTTTTGAAAAAAATACCCAAGTTTTCCAAACTAAATGGATGATTTACGTTTTTCAATTGAAAAGATTGAGAGAGTACAATTCAATTTGGAAATTGTCATGTTGCTTTCAAGCTTTGATATTTAAAAAAGAAGGTCTTTATCAAATTCTATTGATCATGCACGTGACAGAACATGAAGAATAAACAACATTTTGGAATTATGTATGATATGAACTCTACTGTACATATACAGTAAAACCTGTGTATATTGAACATTTTTTTGCCGAGAAAAAAGTTCAGTGTTGGAAGGTGTTCGCTATATAGAGGGTAATTTATACAAAATCAGTAGAGTATGTGCAGAGGAAGGGTGTCCACTAGAGGTAAGTGTTCACTAGAGAGAGAGAGAGAGAGAGAGGTGTTCACTAAGACATGTTTTATTGTACTCCCCTTTTAATATGAAGAATGACCAAAACCAATTTATGATGGAAATGTATTATTTCAATTTAGGCATCTAGTCCAGCATGTACCGAACTTGAGACAATAGTGATGGATTGGCTAGGAAAGATGATAGGATTGCCTAAAGAATTTCTCCATAGCAACGAGCAAACTATGGGAGGTGGTGCCATACAAGTAAGTATTCGGGCATTGTTTCACTATAGCAACGAGTGGCCGTGGCCGTGATGTCATGTATTCAAGGGATTTTCACCATAGCAACAAGGTAACTCTGGATGATGTGAGAGGTGTTCCAGAAGTTCAGGTATCAACTTTCAGCTCAACATTGCAACTTACGAAATGGGATGGAACTAATTAAGTTTTCAAAGCAACAGACACATTTCCGATGTGTCAATTCATTCGAAGGGATCGGAGCTTCAGAATTGAAAAATGTGTCGTATTGAGAATCATGAATTCGTCGTGAGTCGTAGTATTTTATATTTGTTAATGTGTTTATATCTAGACGACTGCGAGTGAATCCACCTTTGTCGCACTACTGGCGGCAAGAAGCGAGGCCATCAGACGCTATCAAATATTAGACGAGGATGACCTGAATGGCGCAGAGATCAACGCTCGACTAGTAGCCTACTGTAGTGAACAGGTACCCGATCCTTCACTTGTAGAGATTCTAAAAAAAGATTTTAGAGATTCTAAATTTTTTTTCCATTAAATCCATGTACATACATTGTGTCTAACCCTTTAGCAAGAATAAAAGGACATTTGGCCGAAATGATTATTAGTACAAGTTCTCCTGATGTTACCCTACTATCACATCAAACTAGTTTTCACTACGTTCTTGAAAACGGGCTTCAACTGTGTACGGACGGACTGGACGTACTTAGAACCGTTTGGGGTCTATTTACAAACTTCATCGAACGTACTCGAACGGGTAGGTCCTCTAGAAGTTAGAACATGCTCAAAATGGTCTCGTGGTCGATGTGTTCTACAATAAGAACGAGTGTCGACGTACTAACGACGAGCTGGACGTACTACGAACGGAACCGTCGTACTTCAATCCTACTAGGGACGTTTTAACAACGAGTTGAACTGTCTGAGGATGTATTGAGAACGAGGTAGAACTAATTGCAAACGGGTTTAAACTGATTAAGAACGTATTTAAGACTGCTTATGAACGAGTTAGCAAAAATATAACTATTACACCAAATAAGTTGCCACTGCGTTCTTCAAAACTGGTTTTAAACTGTGTGCGAACGGAATGAACGTAGCTGCAACTTTCTTATTCCAACAACATTAGACCTAGCCCGGGCCTCGTTTCTTATCTGACATGTGTTATGGCCCGGCTAGGTCTAACCTCCATGACCATTTTGTCTTTGATGCGTTAATTTAATCGTTCAGCAGGTTTCGACAAGCGGAACTAATTGAACCCTGAAAACATGGCAATATTACACAAAGAATGTGATTCAAGCATGCATACATACCTTATAAACACATACACCCCGTCCCGTATCCCCCTTAGACCCTATTGATGCATAATTACAATAATAACTATTTTGCGTGTATATACGCGCTATATAAATTAATCAAAGATACCTGTTATCCTCAAAATTGATCTTTTTATCCCGAGTAATCGCGATAATAATTATCAATCTATTTGACAACAATTTCGTTTCGCTGGTAGTTTAATTTTACGATCCGGGACACTCAGACGAACAGACACAATGACAGACATGCAGAAATGTCACTTTAGAGATTGGTAAGTGTAGCCTCATTTTACTCGTATAAATGAACATTTAACACAATAATATTGTGTTAAATCGCTTGATGTTATGTGTTTTTATATTATTGTCAATTATCAGTTGCACGTTATCGCGGAAAAATGGTTTCGATGGATTCAGAACTTGCATCAAAGGAAAGAATAGTAAGGAGGTTAAACTCAATAATGGCCCCAAGAAAATTCCTATTAATAAAGAACGCCGTTATTGAGTTTAACGACGTTGAACTACAACTTTCTATGGTCTTTTTACGAACTTCATGAACGTTCTCAGACGGGAAGGTGATTTTAGAATTTTGAATCGATTCAAAATTCGATGGCGACCATACTGTTCTGTAATCAGGTCATGATGACCTTCTAGACTAAGGGACGCGTTATACAACGTTGCACACCGACATTGTGCGACCTGAACGAACTGCGAACGAGATGGACGTATTGAAGACTGTTTAGGAACGAAGTAGCTAATTATTCTAGACATATTTCCCGACCACAGCCAGATTGAGCCCGTTTTACGACGTTTTCGTAGGACTGGCAAGAACGGGTAAGAACGAGTTTGGTGTGATAGGGGGGTTACTTAATTCTTGTATATTTCATGATTACACGACTATTTGATTTAGGTCAAAATAAATGTTGATCAAAATATCAATATATGATGACAACTCCATAACCATATTAATTAGGGAATCTTCTCAATACTGTTTTATTTATTGTCCACGTACTGATTGCACTAAGCCTCAGTAACGTTTTCTCTGCGGCGGCGGCGGCGGTGGTGGCGGTGGTGGCGGGTGTAGCTTCACAAAATCGATGTAGAAAATCTATGTCGTACTATACTTATCCCTATATTGTATGCTGCACATTTCTCTCGATTTTGATAGCTACGGCCGCCGTTCGATTGCCGTACAGATGTGGCCGAGGCATTACTTAGAATAGTATTTTGGGATTGAGATAATATGAATATAACTATACTGTGATATCATCCAGGCACACTCTTCGGTAGAAAAGGCAGGGTTGATAGGGTTGGTGAAATTGAGGCTATTACCTTGTGATGATGACTTGAGCTTGAGGGGAGAGACACTGCGTGATGCCATCAAAAGAGATAGGGAGCTAGGATTAGTGCCTTTCTTTGTAAGTCCTTGTTTTCGTTCAGGTGTAAGATTAACTGAATAATTAGGGTAAATCTGTGGTTGCTATGACTAAGTTTATGGTTGAGAATTTTGATACTCGTCAAATTATTAAAACACATTGAAATGATTATATTTTCCGTTACGGCATCATTTTCTTGTTTGTTATAATTATGTAAAGTATGTTTGAGTGCAGACTACTTCATAAAGGAGATCTTCACATAATAAGATGTATCTTCTGTTTTAATGGGGGGAAATTACCGAAAAAAGTCTGCAAGTTAGTTAGGATGCGTTCATTTGAAATAAAAATTGCTCCACGTTGACATTCAAATCCTGATTTTAAATCATGCTCCTCATTGCAGTTATGTGCTACTCTTGGGACAACAGGGGCTTGTGCATTTGATAAAATAAACGAACTTGGTCCCATCTGTGAAGAGGAAGATATATGGATGCATATAGATGCCGCTTATGCTGGTACTGCGTTTGTCTGCCCAGAATTCCGAGGTTACATGGAGGGGGTTGAATACGCACATTCCTTCGCATTCAACCCTTCCAAGTGGATGATGGTACATTTCGATTGCACAGCATTGTGGTAGGTAGCTACTAATAACTAGGTGCACCGAAACTGCTTCTGGGGGGGGGTGTCCATATTAAAAAAGTCCCGAAGCGCATGTACGAAAATTGGGCATACGAAAATGTGCTTTGGGATGTTGCTTTGAAGTGCAATATAGGCTAAAAAGAGTGACATCATAGAGAAATAAAATTAATCGTCAGGGAGGCAGTCTCGGCCAACCGGGATTGCCTCGACAACTACCGATAACTGAAAGATCTGTTATCAACAATGGATGTAAAAATTCGCATGCATAATCTATTTGTTAAGAAATATGCTAGAGAAAAAATGACTGCAATTTTGATTTACTTTTAATGAATTGATGATAATTTTATAGGGTGAAAAACAGTGGCGCTTTACATCGAACATTTAATGTGAACCCATTGTATTTACGCCACGAGAACACGGGAGCTGCAATAGATTACATGGTATGCCCCGCTGCATTTAAACTCAGATATCTCTAGATCGATTCCCAGACTGGACAAATTGCATGCTTTTGGTTCTACGCTTCATTGAATAATGAGAAAGAGAAACTGCAACATTCGCATTAAAACACAATTCATTAACTACAGACAATTCTTACATTGAATGCGATTCAACATTCCTCAATAATATAGTAGTCGTACTAAATTGTTTTTTTGCTCACAGTCTACACTCTCCGTCCTTTTGCCACTTTTTAAATAGTTAATATCAGGTTGTTAACTTGGAATCAAACAATAACCAAATCTGCCAGAATCCGGAAAAGGACACACTCGAACCTCAAATAACACACACACGGATTGATTCGTTGATTTTCTTATTTCAGCATTGGCAAATCCCACTTAGCAAGAGATTTAGATCCTTGAAGTTATGGTTCGTGCTGCGATCCTTTGGTGTAAAGGGGATTCAGGCTCATGTCAGACGGGTAATTATCAATTATGAGTTACACTCCCCTCAATAAGTTTGGCAACACCAATTTGACAATTGAATCACGTGCTACAAATCAAATATGCTTCAATATGGTATCCGATGTCAGGATTATCAAATACTCTGAGGGTAGAGTGATGCATTTCTGGTAAAACTAGAATCAATAATCTAAAATTCAAATCTTATTGTGTGTTATTTTCAAAGAACCTCTGCCCACGTGACAGGCCCGCAAAATTGAAAAAATACAGAAAAGATTTTTGTCTGAAACTGAAACTGAAAATGTCTACGACTTTGTCACGACGCACATGCATTTTAGATTGCAGCTCAGGCCACCAAACCTTTCAAGGCAACTCTACATATATTTAAGAATTCAATCTATGATTTTTAGGGGGTGGAACTAGCTAAGAAGTTTGAGAACCTCATCCTATCCGATCCACTTTTTGAAATACCAGCAAAGAGGATCCTTGGCTTGGTCTGCATTCGAATAAAGGTAGGATAATGACAATCAGCGCTAATCAATGACGCACGATGTTGTTTACGATTTTTTATATACCGCCCCATAGGCTCTAGAAACAATTATATATATTTAATAAGATCAGGGTGACGATTTCAAGTTAACAACCCATATTAATTTTCTAGGGCGAAAACGAATTGACCGAAGCATTACTGAAACGGCTTAATAGCTCTGGAAAACTACATGCAGTACCAGCGTCCTTCAAAGGCAAATACGTAATACGTTTTACTGTGACGTCACAATACACAACCGAGAAAGATATTGAACGAGACTTCAAGATCATAAAAGAAACTGCCAGAAAGATCATAGCAGTTGAAAGCTCATCAGAGGAAGAGGATGACATAGAAAATGAAATAGAGAATGGTACTTGGAGACAACAGCCGACCCAAAGATCTAAAATAGGGGAGATTCGTCGTGAGGGTCTCAAACATGCCAAGAAGGATTTCGGCGTCAGTTTGATCCTTAGTAATGTTCCCATGTCACCGAGGTTTATCAATGGGAGTTTCGCTGCTCTCTTTGAGAACAATGATATCATGAAAGAGATTACTAAGCATTTGAAGAACGGAGATTTTAATTCAAAGTCAGCCATTTTCATGTCTCCGCGCCGAAAAATGAAGCTGGATTCCTCGAAACAGTTAAGCCTTGATGTGAATTGTCTCTACTCACAGAAGAGATTAACGGCGGTACCTTCCAAACAGGGTTCTTTGGATTCAAAAATTGAGGATATCCTCCACAGTTCATTTGAATCCGAAAGCCTCAGCGACGTTGTTGACAGTGAGCACGGCAACGCCTTTGCTGACGTAATCGTCAATGGAGACAACGGCCATAATAATAATGATAAGAACGGAGGCAATGGTACAACCAGTCCTACAGTTTCTGTGTTCATTGTGAATGGGATGAAACGTTCTCCAAGTAAATCCAAAATCAAAGAGAGCGGTATGAAAAGCCCAACATCCGGGTTCAAAAACCCAACACAAGGGATGAAGAAGTCGCCAAGTAAGTCCAAATTAAAGAAACAATCAAAGGTGAATGGGCCTAGTAATGTCGACACTGTCAACACAACAAGCGGCAGTGATATCCGCGTGTGCAAGCACTGCGGCCACAACATAGATGATGGTCAGTGGACTGACGAAAATGTTGAATTTAACATGTAAATCGTAATTGATGGAAATACAAATGAATACTCTGGAGTTAGGAAAGAATTGACATTTGACTGTTTATATCTTGGGTTATAGAGCTTTAGCGTATTTCCCTTGGCGGTGAGTTCTTGCAGTAGGTGGAAAACGTACTCATATTTGTTGTTATCAAATACCATATAATAGATAGCTGTAATATAATAGTAAAGACCATGAATTCCTTTAAGAATGGACGATGGTATTGAATATGTTCGTGTTTCAGAAGTTTTGGCTGGGAAATGTCTTACACGTACAAGTATATACATAGTATTTAGGCCTATATAAAGATGGCAGTGGTGTAGTTCAGTGTAGTGTAGTGAATGTATTTGGACAAGAGGCAGGTTGCATTGTCATCGCTATGAACAAAGACTGGCAGAATGACAGTAGCCAAGTGATAGGGGGAAATCTTTCTGATGTTTTCGAGATATGGACGGCACTCATTATGAGTAGATCATAAAATGCATCATAAGCGTAGATCGACAGTAAAGGATGGTCTTATCTTATTATACGTGTATATTTTCTTTTACAGGCCATTTGAAAATGCTTCAGTTTTCTGTCGACCTATAGTACCATTGTATTTTATATCTTTGTTGTCACGGACTTCTGTTCCACAGGTGTGAGTCAGATACTAGTCTAGTGCGTTAGGTATGTACATGTATGTATATATGGTAGCATAATACGAATAACAGAATAAATAGTTATTGTTATATTTGTCTGCATTGAACTATCATCTTTTGTGTTTAAATAACTATATTTTGATAGAAATATTAAAAAACTTGTTTTCAAACTAGAATACGATTATTTAACCCTTTAAATGCCATGGTAGAAATAATTGTTTATATTTCCATTCGATACTAGTACTAGATAAGATACTATCCCTCCAAAATTTTGGCAGCCGAAAGTTTTCATCGGATAGCATATCAAAGACTCGGACTGTTAATGTAAGAATCTGAATTGTGTTCCCAACTTACAATACTATATATACAGGGTGTCCCGAAAGTATGTCCCCCCTAGGCAGACATACACCAATGTCCGTCCCCATAGTATGTGTCATATATCATTTTAAACCTCATCCAAAGTTACATTGATTTGCCAAGTATCATCGTTGAATTTACAAATGGGAAAAAGTTACAGGCATTTCAAAACTTAGTGTTTGGCCTAAATTAAAGTTAAAAATCAGTATCCTGGAAACACCGCTAACTTGAATGTGACCAAAAATATGGGTGATATCATTAAAGAGAGGATGGATATTGAGTTGTAAAAAGAGGTCGGTAAGGGCAGATAGTCCAAGGAAACTCTTCTAAAATGCCTTAAAAAGCTTTTATTAAGATTATTAAAGAGACTCTATTGAGACTTCTCTGTGGCATTTTTTCTTTATTCCTTTTTGTTTTGAATTTTTAACACCATAACATTAACTAACTACTCAATATGCAACTTTTCATCACGTAGAATTTTAAAATATTAAGTTTGAAAATTCCATTTTTATAATGGAGCTCAATGGGAAAAACGACACAATTTGAATTATTTTCAAACGTAGCGGTGCGATTTTCTTGAAATTGACAGATATAATAAATATTGGTAAGGCGAAATGTTTGAAGAAAAATGAAGAAAATTCACCATCCTGGTTACGCAAAATATAGAAAAATCATAAAAACCTGTAAAAATAGACTGAAGGGGGTGATATTCATTTTTAATGTGCCTCTCACTACTACAGGGTAACCATAGTTTTGGTGATGGTTTACTAATTTTAAAAGAATATCTTCCAGCATGTGTATCAAGCACAAGTAATACAATAAGTGAGTTATCATTAATTGGAATGGTATTATTGTATATTCCTCAGCAATGACGACAAAAAGGTAAAATCGATCATATCACATACTAGTTCTTACCATCAGATCGATCGATTATAATGCATTTTAAACAATATGGCAATAGATCTTCAAATTCAATAATTGAGCTAAATTGTAAGATAATAAATAAATTGCTAATCCCTTATAACTGTATAATCCCTTCTCCGAATCATACTGAATTATAATATTTCGATATGCTTATTTTAGCTGCTGTAGTTTAGGTCACTTGATGAGATATTCAGTAACATGCTAAATAATCACTCGTAATAAGCAATATGAATTCTTCAACACAATCATTTTCAATGTCGATTTTCAAAAATTCATCAAATTTATCATCAATTTTCGACCTATTGTAATTGAGGAAAAAATTGAGAAAATTTGGAGGTATTGGAATTGAAGTCAAATTACATTTCCATCAATAGTATAAGTATTTTCATCGCAGGATAAGTAAATAAAAATTCAAAGGTAAAGAGGCTTTAACACGTGGTTCAATGGGGGAAAAGGTTGCCAAACTTATGTAGGGGAGTGTATCTGGCAAAGCATAGATGGGTTCAACCTGTGTACCCTTCATTTATCTGGCAAAGCATAGATGGGTTCAACCTGTGTACCCTTCATTTATCTGACAAGGCATATAGATACCACATAAAAAGTGATTAGCGTAATATACGACCACCTTCGTTCTATATTTACATTCTCATTACCATACAGTCAAAACGCCAAAACATGCAAAATTCAGAATGAGGTAAAGTAAAAAAATGATAATTTTTTTTACCTGATAAAAAGAATCATACAACTACAATACGAAATGCGAAATGATTTTAGTTTACTCCCTTGATTTTTTCGTTATCTAGCAATATCTAAACCAATGCTATTTGCCATGCCGACGAGGAAAATCATTTAAGCCAACGTGATGACACCATGGTTTAATACTTAATGTAACGTTTGAACAGATATAAATCTTACCTATTTGTCATTGTCTTATGTTTTATAAAACATAAACAATAATTTGTTGTTTGACCCCTCGCAATGATATGGATGATTTATGGTAATACAATGTTATAAATGGCAAGAAAACTAATACGTTCGCAATCATAAATTACCCAAATATTTCGTACAATTTTGTTGAATCTGCTTGACTCGTATTTAAAAAATTATCAAAATCTGAAAAGCACACTGGTGTAATCACACTAATTAAACAACGACATTTACCGTGAAATTATAGTAATTTTTTACTAATTGTTTGACCTTATGCCTCGAATAACGGTCTGTATCTTATAAAATGTATAAAAGTTCGATTCAAAATATTGACGTTTTTGACCCCTAGTGATGAAAGCCATTTTTAGACCCGAAAGCCGGACGTTATTTCAGCAAATAGTATATCAAAAAGCTAGACATATAATATGCACCTCCTTAAATATTGGTTCAAATGTTGCTGTGGTACAGTATGTACTGATAATTACGGATTCTTAATATTCGAGAGAGTCATACCATGGACTAATAAGAGATATTACATATATTCTCACTGAAGTGGCTCTCTGAGGTAGTTTGTACACCTGTGTCACGTACGTTTAATTTTAGTATAGGAAAATGTAACGTAAAAGCCGTGCAGTATCTACAGTATACCTCATCATTCGTTTTTCGTGTTTACATTGGGTAATTTTACTAAGCACGAACTAAGGCTTTTGACATTTTTAGTAGATTTCAGTCGACATACTCAAGAGTATAATATAACGTGTTGTGTGTCAACTGTTACTACTCACGTTGCTAAATGCTTATGTAATTTTCTTAATTTTGTAAAAAGTATATTTCACCGCACTTGAACTGTACCGTTACAAATAAAGACGTCAAATAAATGAATCTACGAATAGATATCAAACCAGGTGATTAGAGGTAAGTATGTTGTACAGGTCATTCAATAAGTAAAGCTACTTTATTTTGCAATAATATACATGTATAGCCAATATTTCCACAGGAGTTACCCTACTATCACACCAAACTAGTTCTCACTACGTTCTCGAAAACGGGCTTCAACTGTGTACGAACGGACTGGACCTACTAGGAACCGTTTGGGATCTATTTACAAACTTCATCGAACGTACTCGAACGGGTAGGTCCTCTAGAACTTAGACAATGCTCTAAATGTACTCGTGGTCGTCACGTTCTACAATTAGAACGAGTGACAACGTACTAACGACGAGCTGGACGTACTACGAACGGAACCGCCGTACTTCAATCCTACTAGGGACGTTTTAACAACGAGTTGAACTGTCTGAGGACGTGTTGAGAACGAGGTAGAACTAATTGCAAACGGGTTTAAACTGATTAAGAACGTATTTAACACTGCTTATGAACGAGTTAGCAAAAATATAGCTATCACACCAAACAAGTTGCCACTGCGTTCTTCAAAACTGGTTTGAAACTATGTGCGAATGGAATGAACGTAGCTGCAACTTTCTAAGGTCTATTTACGAACTTTATGAACGTTCTCAGACGGGAATGTGATTTTATAATTTTGAATCGATTCAAAGTTCGATGGCGACCATGCCGTTCTGTAATCAGGTCATGTTGACCTTCTAGACTAAGGGACGCGTTCTACGACGTTGTACACCGACGTGGTGCGACCTGAACGAACTGCGAACGAGATGGACGTATTGAAGACTGTTTAAGGACGCAGAAGCTAATTATTTCAGACATATTTCCCGACCACAGCCAGATTGAGCCCGTTTTACGACGTTTTCGTAGGACTGGCAAGAACGGGTAAGAACTAGTTTGGTGTGATAGGGGGGTAACATGATACATCTTACTAGCCATCCTGAAAATTTGGCTAACCTTGTATTCGCGAATGCAACTTTCGGCTGTCGGCTACCAGATTAACCTACTATTTTATGACCAACTCATTTAAATATGAATAGTACCTGTCACTATTCCGTTCATATTTAAATGAGTTTGCCATAAAAAGTAAGCTAATCCGGTAGCCGACAACCCTACTATCACACCAAACTAGTTCTCACTACGTTCTCGAAAACGGGCTTCTACTGTGTACGAATGGACTGGACATACTTAGAACCGTTTGGGGTCTATTTACAAACTTCATCGAACGTACTCAAACGGGTAGGTCCTCTAGAACTTAGACGTTCTACAATTTGAGCGAGTGGCAACCTACTGACGACGAGCTGGACGTACCACGAACGGAACCGTCGTACTTCAATCCTAATAGGGACGTTTTTACAACGAGTTGAACTGTCTGAGGAGGTATTGAGATGGCGACCATACCATTCTGTAACCAGGTCATGATGACCTTCTAGACTAAGGGACGCGTTATACGACGTTGCACACCGACGTGACGCGACCTGAACAAACTGCGAATGAGATGGACGTATTGAAGACTGTTTATGAACGAAGTAGCTAATTATTTTAGACATATTTCCCGACCACAGCCAGATTGAGTCCGTTTTACGACGTTTTCGTAGGATGGGGGGGGGGGGG